GGCGGGGCCGGGCGGGGGCCACGCGGGCTGCCCGGCGCCCTGCTCGACCCCGCTGAAGAAGCCACGCCGGGACGGAGGAGAGGAGGACGCGGAGGAGGAGATGGAGACCGGGAACGTGGCGAACCTCATCAACATCTTCGGTTCCAGCTTCTCCGGACTCTTGCGGAAAAGCCCCGGGGGCGGCCGGGAAGAGGAGGAGGCGGAGGAGAGCGGTCCGGAAGCCGCGGAGCCCGGGCAGATCTGCTGCGATAAGCCCGTGCTGAGAGACATTAACCCCTGGAGCACAGCCATCGTGGCCTTCTGAGGCCCGGCCCGTGCGGGTGGAGGGTGAGCAGCGGGCGTCCCCGAAGTGGGGGCCGGGCCTCTGCCGGCTGCGAGGACGCCCCAGAGACCGCTGGCGCCGAGCGCGCCGGGGAGACCGGTTGCTGCCGGGCGGCATCCACTGCCCCGGGCTGGGAAGCCCCGCTGTGCCCCGCGGCTCGCGAGTCTCCGCTCGGGACCGGAGCTGGGGGCTCCTAGAAAGAGGACGATCGTTAACTTTGTGTATGTGTGTCTGTGTTTCTGTGAGTTTGTCCTGTTGAATCGAGACTATTTTGTCCTTCTGGAATGCACCACCCTTTCCCCGGGCTTAAGACTTCTGGGGCAGACAGGGACTTTCCTTTGCCGGCCGCGCAGAGACGGAAGCGGCAGAAAGATTGGAGGCCTGGGAGTTCCCCATTCGTTTTCGGGGGAGGGAGGGACTTTACACACACGCCTCAAATGAAAGCTAGAGCCGCGCCCGGCCTATGGCGTTTCCTCCCAGGCTTTCTTCAGACCCGGGGGATGTAGTTTGCAGTAGAGATGTGTATTATTTCTCTCTCTCTCCATCATTCTCTAGCACAGAAGAGATGTTTATACCCTATGATTACTCTGGGAAAGAGGAGTATTAAGGGACCGTGGCTTCCCCACAGGGGAAAAAAGCTTGATGAACTTCACAGAAGAGTTCAAGCTTGGAAATATGGAGTTTATAGAGAAAAGTTATATTTTTAAAAGCTCTAGCTCAGAACTACTAAACAGTGCTTTTAAAAAGTGTTTAATGAAACAAAGTTTACAGACAGAAGCCCTAAGTGGAAAGACCTTATGGTTTTGTAGATATGGTGACTCCAGTCTTTGTTGTATAAAGGTTGGGGAAGCTGATAAGGTTTTGTACAGTATTTTCTCCTTCGTTGTATTGAATTTTGTATAAAAATGTAACTTTACGTGTCCAACACGTATTAAATATTTTGAAGCAACTTCACTGCCTCCTTGTCTGTAATCACCTACCTGGGTTTGGAGGGAAGTAGGAGGGGGGAAACTAAAGCCTGGGCTAGAAAATTGACGGTGTGGTGCTTAATATCAGTCATGCACAAACTGAGGATTTTGCTGACTTTACTAAGTATCGAGAGATATATTTAGGGTTTTACCCCATCATAGACTAGTGTCAGCGACTGCTAACTTCTTGAAACCTGCTACTGCAGCTGCCTTTATTAGGCTCAATTTAGGTCAGTTTGGTTTTGTACGGCCCAATCTGATGGTATCTGTTAAAAAAATTAAATTTAAGCACCCACTTTTGAAGCCCTTCCTAGCCACAAAAAGGTTTTTCACCAAACTTTTTGTGTCATGTTAAGCTGTGTACCATAAGTCATTTTCTAGATTTGAAGAAACAAAACATTGTGTAAATAGTAGCTTACTTAGAAGGAGCCTGCGGGAACAGCACAGGTGAAAAAAAAAAAAAAAAGCTGATGAGACTCACCTGTCCAAAGGGTCAAGTCCGCCTCTGCATTCCACTAGATATATCAGGGTTGGAATTTTCAGTTCTTATTCTTTCACTGATACAGCTATAGAAAGTACATGCATTGGTGAAAGTGAAGTTGTGTTTGTCAAACCAGATAAGGAGGCCAAGGAGGGCTGGGTAAATTTCATTTAGCAGAACTTCCTGATTTGCTTTTGTCACCTAAGTGATGACATCAGTGTTTTGGTCATGGTAATATTTAGGTGAGGACAGCCAAGTCATTTTACTAAAATTACTGCTTTTAAGGAAACTTTGACTAAAGCAAAATGTTCAATATTTCAAAGTTTTCATTCTCTATTTTAGAAGCAAACCAATTAGTCATGTTTTAAAATGTGGTTGCCAGTAATTTAAAAGATAGTACCAGGTTATAAGTAAATAGAGTGTAGAAGAGATGGGAAAATTGAGAGACAAAGCTATAAGTAAAGGTTATGGTCTTTAAGCAAAAGGAGCATATGAATGATGCATTGGCCTTAGCCAAAGTTCCAATTATATGAGCTTTTGGCATAGCAGAGTAGATCATTGCATTATTTCTGCAAATCTGTTGGTGGTTTCTGAAGCATAGGAAACTTTTTTACTTTATGCTCTGTCACCACAATATACATAGAATAACACATTCTCTAATCAGGGTCTTATTAAATTGACTTTCAAAGATTACCTACTTAAATTCTGCTATAGCTACCCAAGTTCTACTGAGTAGTGACTGTATTGAATAAGTATCCAGGGCCCTAATTCTGCAAACATTTCTTGTTGCTAGAAAGTAATTATGCTTACCAGTTATCTCAATGCATTTTTATATTCAAAAGAGGGTAACATTTGGTATGTTAAAGAGAGCTGTATGTTTTGGAAGAGACTAAAGTTCTTGTTGCTCCTTGATTTCACATTAAGATCAACCATGGGACCATGTGTCTGCTTAATTTAGAGAATGTAAATTGGCATATTTGATAGAGGGATAAAGCTGTGTAGGAGATTTCTAAAACTCATCTTTATTGTTGCATGGAGCAGATAGTATAATGGTTAGTGCATGGGCTACCTGGATTTTGTAACTTGCCTGGGACCTTAGGCAAATTGTTTCATCTCTGTGCCTTAGTTTTTTCAAATGTGAAATTGGAATAATCATATTTACTTCATAGAGCTGTGAAAATTAATGGTCTTAGAAAAGTAATGCAAATAAGTACTGAATTATTGTTAATATGAATTATTCTGTATATGAATCATACTGTGATAAAAATTGTGCATATTTGTACAACAGGAGAATCTGTTTTTAAAATATCCTACCTGTGAATACTGGGTTCTTTTATTCTTCTATTTTTCTCTGGATACTTGGCAGTCACAAAGCTTTGTTTCACCAGCATAGTTTTGTTGCTATATGTGTCTTACACCAACCCTCTGACTTCCCTGGATTAAACCAAACAACTCTATTTTCAGGAAGGAGCAAGCAGGAGTGAAAACGCATAAGGAGCAAAGTTCTTGTTGACATACAAGTGCGTCCTGTGGATGAGTAAAGGAAAAATAGCTCACACAGTTATTTTTAGCTTGAATTGCTTGGACATAGAATGTTTCTTAGGCCATGCTCATTGACAGGTCTTGGACAAGAGCCTGCTTGATGCCAAGACAAGGCTATCATGTAAATAAATCAGATGTTGTGTGATTAGAAACAAAGCCATAGCTTTAGTATTTAACCATTTTTGAGCTCTGGAAACAGTTCTCTTGATCAAATTAACAACAGCACTGGCTCTGGATTTTGTTTTTGTTGTTCTTTTTAGTGCCAAAGATATAGTCCAAGCCTCCCCTCATGTGAGGCAAACACCACACCACTGAGCTACATCCCTGCTTGAAAAAACAGTTTTGACTGCCATGTAAAATCCAGATGTTTAAAGTGCTTTTGATAAGTACTCTGAGAAGATTCATTAATAGGGAATAGAAATTTTAGTACAATACTCAATTATGTTGTTATAAACCTTCCTTCCCTTTCAGAAGCCATCACTTGTATTTGGGAAAAAAGAACTAATGATGGGAAACTTGAACTGCTTCAAAACTGAATGGGTCTTCTCTGAGAAACCTAATACCACTTTCAGCCCTCTCATCTATCACTGTTTAGAATTTGGGATCAGAGGGGCTGGGGATTTAGCTCAGCGGCAAAAGCGCCTGCCTGGCAAGCGCAAGGTCGTGAGTTCGGTTCCCGGTACCAGAGAAAAACCAAAAAAA